GACGGACGGACGGACGGACGGACGGACGGACAGACAGTCACCGCTTAATCGATTTCTCTTTTCATTCTGATCATTTATGTATACATTTGTCTATATCTATCTCGATTCGTTTTGCCTGTTACAAACAACCGTTATGTGAACAAAGTTATAATACCCTTATTTTTCACTAGTAGTGTTAGGACAGTATCTACCAGAGCATTAGAGCTTTGTTCTCGTAGATAAATAGGTGAAGGCTTGTATTTTTCAACTACCTGTTGGTTAGAATCATTATTCATATCAGCGAGAATACTAAAACGAAAATTCTCCGCCGATGTAGGTATACCTGAAGTGACTACTTTTAAAATTTTATTTTTTGGGCTTTGTTTTTCATTTTTTCGGGTGTCCGCTTATTAGAGTGTAGCGATTTAGCCCAGTCTGAACAGTAGCATGTTTTGCTTTATTTTCTTCTTTGTTTGTTGCCGTCGAAGTATAAGTAGCGGCAGCTACGTTGTTTTCCGCAGTGATCACTGCTGGAGAGGAAGGTGGTGCTCTTTGCTTGACTGCATCTGGCGTTTGTGATGGGGTGTTAGCAGTATAAGAGTTTTCTTTAGCGTTGTTGTTGAAGGTTTTGCTTTTTGGGCTACATGCAGTAATTGTCAAATATGCTTGCGCTTTGGATTGAGTGCCTTTGGGGAGCGCCCTGGCCACTCATCCCTCACTTAACTACCGTTCTTATTTTGTATGTAATTTATTTAATTTGATACACACAATGTCTTATTATTTATTTTGGTACTTTTCGCGATCACGCTTTGATTTTTTATACTAATGAGTGCAGTTCGCGACGACACAAAACTCGAATAATGGTTTAGTGTGTTTTTCGTACACGTCCGTACTCAACCGCAACTTGCTTATCCCCAATCGTAATATCGACTATGGAAATTGCTTCCGGCCAGCGGTCAACTAGTGTTAGACAGTATCGATAGCCTTCTGATGGTGGAAACGGCCCAACTATGTCAATGTTTAGGACTGCAATGGTTTGACGCTGTGCGAATGCGATCAGACGAATAGTCGCAAATTAATGACTGAGAGCTGGAAGGCAGAGAAAACGGGTTTAACTTTACTTTACTTACCTACGCTATGGAATGTTTGTTTCGGTGGGCAGCGAAAATCAGAGGCTTGTGGTCAGTGTAGGTGTGGCACAGTCTGCCTTCAAGCATGTAGCGGAAAGTTTTCACTGTCGTAAGTGCTCTATACCTTGATTCAGATGTCGAAAATTTGTTCGAAAAAATCCAAGTGGCTGTACTTCGTTGTTAACAATTTGGTTGAGCACAATTTGGTTGAGCACTGTCGCAAAGCTTGACGCATCGACACAGAGTGATAACTCGGCGTTCAGCAATGGGTGTGAAAGCAGAGAATAGTTTGCCATCTGTTGCTTACTCTGTTCAAAATAACGCTCTGCTGCCACGTTCCATACTAGTGGTGTTCGCAATGAGGTACGGTCCCTTCGGGTAGTATCGGGGGGGCTGTTATTTAATATTCAAATGCGGGAGAACTCCCAAGGGTTCGATGTGGAGTTGCATTGCAACCGGGTGCCTGGAGCCAATGAACGGCAGAGATTTTAGGTAGGTTTCCGCTTTACCAAAAAGGTGTGTCCGCCCCACACCGCCTTTGGTACTGAAATGCTAGCATTTCAGGGCAATAATTAAGGCATGAATTAATCCGAGAGCTTAACGGGCTCTGTGGAGTTTGGACCGCATACTTCGGCAGGTGCCCACAATAAACCTAAACTATTTACTAGTTGTGTTCGGTCGTTTCTTTTATTGGATTTAGCCATATGAACAGCTTTTCTTGAATCGCATTCGCGTCTTTAAGAAAATCGCCGGCAAAAGTTCAGCATTGCCTAATATCGCTTCATCTCTTGCTCAGTTCTTGGCTTCGGGTAGTCGAGAATTACTTCTACGCGTTTACTGAGAGTGTGAATACCGTTCTCCGAAATGAAGTGACCTAAGAATTCTAGTTACGGTTAATACACAAGTTGTTCTCTTTAAGTTGGTGAAACACTTGACGCAGATGCTCACAATTTTGCTCTTAAGTAGCCGATGCAATTAACAAACGCCGCCTCTCTCTGAAACACCACCTGCGGAGCGTTGCTATTAAGTGTATGTCGCTGACTGAGCCCTCGATGATCGATGTTAGTTCCTTTGAGAAAATGCTTGTTACAGACGGAAGGCGGTATACCCACAAATCCATCAGCGCGCTGTCACTCCACGATGATCCTGCTACTCTTTGCATGCCAGAAAAAAGCCCGCTGGGCCCTTTATCAGCCAACGGCATCTCCGGAAGCACTCTTTGCAAGCGCCTGGGTTGACTCTTACTGAATCGTTGGATGAATTTGGTTTTAATGTACTCGTATCTGTTTACAGCAGGTGCAGTCTCAATCACGGGACGAAAGCTGATGAGCTTGGTCGGTGGTACACTGGCTAGGACGGTTGCATATTTGCGGATATCTGCTGAGAACCTGAAGTGTCGAACCAAAAGTCCGAGGAGTAAAAGAAAGCTTCTATTTCTCTTTTCCTCATTGTTGGAATAAAAATCCGAGGACTAGATACGGCGTTCACATCAGCCACAGCGATGTTTGGTTCAAGCGAATGGCTCGACTTCTCGTCCGTGCTAATTGCAAAGTTAGGTTAGATGATTTATTGCGCAACACTGCACATGCGGGGTCACCAATGTAGAACTCAGTTCACTTTCGTGTTCTAAAAATCGAATGATTTATTCAATTCTTTATAACATCGAGTAAGTTAAAACACATAGTCAGCAAAATTAACAGATGAGAGAGAAGGAGCAAGGCTGCCACACTAAAGCTATTAATATTATATTAAATTACCACAATTCTGCCACGCAAATATATGTATGGATACGAGTAGATATGAAGCCTGTCCCAGGTATTTCAGTATTTGCAGGTTTTCCAGGATTTACAGGAAAATCTGTGTTGGTCATTATTAAACATTATGTAAGGTGCCGTACTGGAACGGCTTTCTCTAAAATCCTGTATATCCAATAAAAATGTGTAAAGGCTGTAAAATACACGGCAAGGACGCATATGCATAAAAACTGAGCTCTTGCTCAAGTCGAGTCTGTCCAGCTCAATCTCAAGTAATAAGTCCAAGCAAACAGATTGAGCTCTTACTCGTTTTCGTATGTATAAAAATGAGGTTGAGCAAATGCTATGAACTTGAGATAGCTAAGATCATACTGCTTGCTTGATTAGTAGCAAACATGAGTTCGGAAAGCGAGAGTGAAAATTGAAATTGTGATTTAAACGAATTCTTGTAAATTTTTATAGTTAATTATCTAAAGAAATACAAGTTTCTGTTAGAAAACAGTCAACTCCCTAGTGCTAGAAATAAAAAAGAAATAATTGCAAAAATTAGTTATGAATTTAGAGAAAAAACGGGGGTAGAAATAAATGCGAAAAATCTTGTCAAGAAAATTGCTAATGTGAAGTGTGCCGTTTAAAAGGAAAAAACGACAAGAATAAAACAGGATACAAAACCATAATTAAAAAAAAGTGGGATTCAGAATTAATAGAAATATAACTGGGTCGAATCCGGTCATCAAGAGAATTACAAGTTCACCGTTACTCCTTGTACCATTTTTGTTTTCTTAATGTTAATATATTTCTTTTGTTATTCTCTTTTCTATTGCAGGTAATTTGTCGGTGGTCATTAACAACGAGCTTTCCAGCAGTAACTCAGAGAGCGCAGCGGGCATTATTAACGAGAGTTCCAGCTGTAGCTTAGAGAGCACAGTATTAACACCTGTTGTACAGACTTCACTGGTGCAACAACAAACAGCGCAAAGAAAACGACATGCTACTTATAATGATAATCGGCCGGCATCAATAGAGTTGTTTGCGCTGAGCTTGGGAATATCTATTTATTTTTAGTTAATATGCAATGTTAATTTTCTGCACTTATTTCTTTATTTGCAAGAACAAATTACACACATTCATATTAACCACTAATAATAAGAACTCAGCGTAAATATCACTAATGTGATTGCCTGTAATTCATAATTTAATTTAATTACAGGGCAAACAAATCTTAGATGAGACAGAGGAGACGACAAATTTAAATTTTCAACAATATCAAATGCTTGCTTTGGTAAAACAAAATAAAGTGCTTTCATTGAGACTGAAAATTTTGGAAGGTCGTGTAGTAAAAAAGGAGTTGACTTTGGATGAATATAAAAATTGTTATGTTCATTATATATTATATTAATTTCTTGTTATTGTTTAGTTTCCAATATCATATAAATATTTACACACACAGAAATGAACACTAAATGCTGTATTTTCTCCATACATTTTGCTAAAGTATTTCAGATCCTCCCTCCGGCAGCAGAATATGAAAATAGGACACTAAGAACTTAACAAAATGAAAAAAAGATTTACTATTGCAAAAACTGAATGAGCTACTCCGAAATCCGTGATTTATAAGACTGTTTAGGTCCTTATATCAGAAACATTCATCTTGCATAAGAAAGAAAAAAAAAAGATATCCAACCTCATGAAGAATAAGCCGCTAAAGCGAATGGCGTACTTTTTCAGTTTTTTAATACAACTAACTAGAAAGCTACCCACACGGCCTAAAGTGACTATATGGTATAATTTTTCACGAATTTTTTAATTTATTTGTTAGGAATTTCCAGGTAGTAGTAATTTTTCTGAAATTAAAGTACTAATATTGTAGCTAATTTAATGTAGTTTTTAAAACAGCTAACAGATCTAGAATTGATTTATATTTGAACTAGTAAATTAGGTTTGAGTAAAGCCATTTCGAAAGGGTAGGGAAGATGTTGATTTAAATTATTTACGTTCCGTTCGTTTGTCAAATCTGTCTTTTTAATGTTAACATATTCAGAGTACAAATTCGTCACCTCATGTTTCACTACTGTCTTTAAAGCCTAAGTGCTAAAAAATATTAAAATTAATTACACTTTTTTCTCTATGTATTAAATTAATGAAACTTACGAGTTAGGAAGTAACTACTAGTTTTTGTCGTTTTCTCCATAAAACCCATGCATGGAATTAGATGAAGATTCCCCCGATGTATTGCTAGAGGTCAAACTTAAAATATAGGCTCCATTTTACCACAGGAAAATATCTTATTGGAAAAGTGGTCGTGGCACCACCTATACATGCTTAATTTTTGACACTGCATATCTCTGAAAGTATTTGCGGTGGAGTACTGGAATCTGGAATTCGGTACGGATGTATATGAAATGAGTTCCATGCTCATATAGAAAACCGAAGGTTATTGGAAAAATGGGCGTAGCATTTATTTTATCTATACCTATTACTAATATTTTAAATGTGAAAGTTTGTATGTTTGTTACTCAATCACGCAAAAGGTCTGAACGGATTGGAATATTTGGCCCTAGATAGCCAAATGGCCGATTTTTTTGAAAGGCGTATTACAGATATAAAGAGAAATTAACCTACCAAAAACGAACACGATAGGTGGTACCGAAGTGGAGTTATTTCAAATTAAAGTTCATTTTGTGTTTTTGTTTTTTACATTAGGAACCCTTTGCGGTCGTGCCTTAACCGATTGAATGGTTGTTTTACAGTGGGAAAGGTGTTTTAACGCGCCGCAAAGCAATGTAATTATCAGTCGTAAATATGGATAAAATATTCCTCAGTACGCCGGTTATATCCCCTGCTTTGGATTTAAATTTTGTGATAATGTTTGTCAAGTTGGAAAGAGGTTTTCAACATGGCGTCACTTAAACCTACTTTACTAGTTCAAATATAATTCGACTCACAATCTGTTCGCTTCCTTCAAACCTACATTAAATTAGCTACAATTTTAAGTTGTTTAATTTTGGAAAAATTACTACTATCGGGAAAATCCTAACGAATAAATTTAAAAATTCGTGAAAAATATTACCAAATAGTCACATAAGGCCGCGTGGGTAACTTTCTGGTTAGTTTATTAAAAAACTGAGTACGCTATTCGCTTTAGCGGCTTATTCTTCATGAGTTTGGGTACCCTTTTTTTCTTTATTGTGCAAGATGAATGGTTTTTCATATAAGAACCTAAACCTACAGCAAAACAGTCTTATAAATCACGGATTTCGGAGTAGCTCATCCAGTTTTTGCAATAGCGAATATTTTTTTCATTTTCTTAGGTTCTTAGCGTCCCATTTTCATATTCTGCTGCCGGAGGGAGGATCTGAAATACTTTAGCAAAATAAGGCATCTAATGAACACGAATAAGCAAAATTAAATACAAATATATTTAATTTAATAATAAATTAGAAATCACTTGTCTCTTTCTTCTTCCTGCGTCCGAAGCTCTGGATGTGGTTTTTGTAGTGTCGTCCATCTCCAAGTTCGAAGAGTTACTCAGAGTATCATTTTCATTCCAAATGTAGCTATCTTTTAAAGCCTTTGTAATATTATGCAAAACAAAAGAACTTGCAATCACCATTAGCACTAAATCTGTTGCGACTCGAATTTTATATTGCAATATTGCAAACCATTTTTTCAGTTGTCCAAAACATTGCTCGATGATGCATCCTTCTTTCGTAAATATTCTATTATAATTGATCTTTGCTTCAGTTTGTTTCCGAAATGGGGTCACTAACCAAGGAGATATGGCGTAACCCTCATCTCCAAGAAGAAAAACCATCATTACCAGCATTCATCATCGTAGTATATGTATTGCTGTTTCGCAGTACGCCAGAATCATTCATAGAACTTGGCCAAGATATATCCACGCTAGTTAATAGCTCATTTGCATCGCATGTTGCTTGCACATTTATTGAATGAAAACCTTTTCTACATACGTACTCGTCACTTTGAGAATTTAATTTCGATGTGTGTACAGTAAAGTGGTCCAATTTTTGTATGGGGAAAAAAATTTTCCTACTAGAAAACGGGGCACCCCCTTAGTTTTTTCCTTTTAATATTTGTAATATCTATACCAACTTTCAGTTTTCTACTGCAACTAATACAGGGTGCTCAATGCCCTTGGAATGCGCTACTGGATCACTGCGAAACTGGCAAAAATATTGGTGATTTTTATCAAAAGGTTCTGTTGCCATGACAACTGAAGCTTGTGATATTTTTTTAGATAATTTAAATTTGAAATGTTCTTAGGTTATTTAACCAATTGTTTGATTAATATATGTACACAATACTTCTGGAGTAAAATATGAGCATCATGAGCATCCTCCAAATTTATCCTTAAGGTTTGGTACCAGCACCTCTTTCGGCAAAAGAAAAATTTTGGAAGGTGCCCCAAACCCTATCTTGGAATTTTTTTTTTGGACCACTCTAGTGTACAGTCTATAACACCAATTCCAAACGGAAAACTGTTTTTTTCTTCCCATTGCCTTTGTGCAGCTGCAAGTTCCTCATTTGTGGATGGAAATTTAATGCATTAATATGCTCTTCCTGATATAATCCGTGCCATTTAGTAAATCACCATTGAAACGGTTGTTTGATGTACTCCGCTGTCTTCTCCAATCCCATTTTGGAAGCCTGCATCGGCAGAAAATCTTAGGAACACACACATCTTTTGATTATTCGTAAGAGCAACACCTGTCCTTTCGTTGTTTTCCTCTAGGAAATAATTTGTTAGCCAGTCTTGTCTGCTGAATCTGTTGTGATTCAAATCGAAATATTTTTTTTATAATCATTTGGGGTGTTCACAGTTCGTTCCAAATAGTGTCTTAAAATGTAGGC